CTACAAGCAGTGCGGATGCACTCGGATGGTGGTAGGCATACCACCAGTGGAAACAAAATACAGTAAGAGACAGAACTATGAGAAAGAGGAAAATTAATAGACTTTATCAGAAACAACAGAATTGAATTCTCAAAAACTATTGCTTAGCCTGAAAATAGTTCACGTCTCAGGTACGTGTTTAAGAACAGCAGGTTAAGTAAGACATAGTGGTAAGAACTCTGAAAATATCAAAAATATCAATCTATGGCGGTGCCTGTGGCTCAGTGGGTAGGGCACCAGCCCCATATACCGAGGGTAGCGGGTTCAAACCCGGCCCCGGGCAAACTGCAACCAAAAAATAGCTGAGTGTTGCAGCAGGTACCTGTAGACCCAGCTACTCAGGAGGCTGAGGCAAGAGAATCACCTAAGCCCAGGAGCTGGAGGTTGCTGCGAGCTGTGTGATGCCATGGCACTCTTCCAGGGTTGATAAAGTGAGACAGAGTCTCACTTTTTTTGTATATTCTACAAATATATATATATATATATTTATATATCAATCTAGTCATCTATTCAACACACGATTATTGAATGTTTAGTATAAACCTAACACAATACAATGGCAAGGGTGAGCACAGCCTGAGTAAGGAGGGGGTCAGGTGCACACCTGCAGTGTGGGATGACCAGGACTACAGGACTCAAAGGATGGGAAGGCCAGAGAGGGAGGGGCAGGGTTTCTAGAGAAGACTTACTCTTTTTGTTAAGCCTTGAAGAATGACAACTTTTACTAAAAGTAAAGAGTGATTTGGGGGCATCCACAGGCATATTGAAACTTGGAATTCTACCTGCTATTCTTCCTCTGTAAACCTGTTTCTTTATTTGTAAAATGGGAACAATAGTCCTTTTCCTGTCTAAAAAGGCATTATTTTAAGAACCAAATGAGGTGTTTTGTAAAAAGCCATTCTGATGATGATGATAATGATGACGATAGCTCTAATTTCCAAGGTGCTTTTTATTATTTTCTATTATCGTATATTCATTGGATTCATCTCTCTATTTTAAAGATGAGACATTGAGATTCAGAGTGTAATAAAGCTTTCTGAAAGTTTAAAGTAAAAAAAAGAGGGACATGAAATCTGTTTTCTACACCCTATGACTTTTAATACAAAACTATGAAGTTTGACATATATAAATGTATGTGTGTATCAATCATCTTCATTCCTCAAATTCAAACTTAACAATTTCTGACCTAAGAAATTAAGAGTTAGCATTTTTTTTCTGGACAATTAACAAATCACTCTGAGTATTACATACGCTATCTTTGTAAATGAAATCATTACTTTAACCTAGAATGCCACTGAACCTTTATCTGCACTGTCCCTAGACATCAGTGTTACCCAAACTGCATTGCCACACTGAGGACACTGAGTCTGAACCTTTTCTCAGAGGTTCCAGAGTTGCCACACCAAGGCACTGGCTGTCAGGCTGCTCCTCCCTGGCCTGTCTATTACAGTGTTGGGAGCCTTCCCTTTGCCTGCCAATGGTACAGCCTCAGCAGCAGTTACAGCCAGATTGATCAGAGGCTTTGCATAGGCATGTGTTCAAGTGGAGACTGAGAGATGAGGAAATGTACCTGTATCTAGTCTCTTTGAAGAGAATTTCTCACTTGTCATTTGCATCTCTTGGGTGACCATTAACTTGTAAATGGGCAATTATTGTGCAAAAATGGAAAGAAAACATTCAAATTCAATTCTTCCAAATGGATTGCATGAGGATTGTGTTTTTTAAAATATATATATATATTCAATCTATATATTATATATATTTTATATAATATATATGTAAAATATATATATATATAAAATCATGTTTACTTTCTCACTGTTAATAGGAATGGACTGTAGATTCCAACTTGGTCCCTTGGTCCCTTGTCCCTTATGGATACCATATCCAACTCACAATAATATAAAAAAATGATTATCCTTCTCCTTGATTGTTTTACTCAATATGCACTTTGGAAAATACAGAAATAAAGACCCCAGTCAAAGGAGTTTATTGTCTGATTTATAATAAAATTCACGTCCTAGGAACTGTGTTGATTGAAAATTATAAATGGTAAGTGAAAATTCCACATATTTTGGCACAGCTTAAAAGAAAAGTCCCATGTTTTATATGCCTGGTTGTGCATGAAGACCAGAAAGTCCACTTCCATATATGCCATCCCTAAAACAAGTTCTAAGCCCTGGGCCAGCCCCAGACTACTCTGGAACTTCTGTATTGATATCTATAACTTATCTATGGTCCTGCTAACCCTAAGATCTACTGTTCCTTAGTGGTTGTCACAGAGTGACCTTGCCATTTAATATCTCCAAGTTCTGTTAAGGGGTTTGACTTCACTGAGCCTTGGTTTCTTTGTTCACCTAAACTTAGCTAATCACATCGACCTTGTACAGTTACTCGAAGGAGTAAATGAGATGATGTGTAAAGCACCTAGCACCCAGCACGGTGGGCACACAGGAGGCATTTGGTGAGTGTTAGTTCCCCACCCACCTCCTGGATCTGAGTCCCAGTGCTGAACCAGACACTCCAGTCGCCTAAGCTGCTCCCGTGGCAAAACCATGCGGAAGGGACCCAGGGTACCGGGGTCAAAATCCAGACAGGACAGGCCTGTGATCATGCTTTCTGCCAAGATCTGTCAGCAAGACAATTGTGTCACTGGGCCCTGTGCTTCTCATATGGCCAAGAAAGAATATTTATTCTGCTTACGTCACTATCAATCATTGCGGGAGGGAGACTGTCATTTAGGAATAAGCTCAAAATCCCACTTGGGCATGAATAAAAAGTTTGCTATTAGATAAAGAGCTCCTAAACAGAACTGCAGAACTAAAGATAAAAAATTCTCTGGAACATTCACAAGATTAAAAAAGATGATTCTGCTCTGAAATTATAGATCATTTAGAGAAATGTTATCCAGTTTGGGGCATCTCAGTTCTTTTCATCTAATTTTCAGTAGGCTAAAGGTAGCAGAAAAGCAGGGGTGCTCTCTCTCAGGTTAGCACTCCTTTCCTGTGGGAACCTGGCCTACAGCCTCCCAATCTATAAGACAAGAACAGTAATACCAAACACTTATGAATTTAGAAGTACTGCGTGTGTTAAGGGTGGAGGGCAGAACTCCCTCCAGTCATAAATACATATAAATTTCACAAAAAGTAATGATAAAAGATATGCTAAAATTTAAAGTAAATGTCTCTTTTGAAGGACAGAATTTGGGGAAAGCATTTCTAGGTAACATGTTGTTTGGGGGAAAAAACACAATCTCAGAAATAACAGGTGGCTGTTCCTTTTGTCGTTTACTTTAGAACAAGACTAAGGAACCTGCATCCCTGAATAGCGAATGGGATATGAGGCAGCACGTGAAACAGGAACTTTGCTAGTGGCAGAGAAATATCCAAACAGACTGGGAAAACAGAAACTGACCTAACTCATTTGGAAATGGGCTTGGTGCTGATGAAATAGGTGGACTGTAATTAAGTAATGCAATAAAGGAGGTAAGTGCTTTCATGACAACAAAAACACACACAGCACACACACCAGTGGGTAGTAACCAGGTTATTCATAGGCCTTGCTGTCTCGGATTAGAATATTCAGAGAGACGCCCAGAACAGACAGTTGCATTGTTCAGATGCAACCTTACAGGTGCAGGGGGAGTGCTCAGCCATTCTGACCTCGAGGTTCATTTCTAGCTCTAGGAAGACTGTCCTCTTTCTATTTTTATTCTTTCCACACAACCCTCAAACAAAGAGCAAAGCTACATTCCTCACCAAGAATCTTCTAGCAAGTCATTCTTGTAGACATGAATGTCTTAGCTCAGTTTTGGTAGAGAAAGCACAGATCCAATTTCACTTAGGTTCCTGCTCTCAGACTTGTAAGTTTCAAGTATGCATAATATGCGTTTCATTAGCTCTCCCAACCCTGAGACAAGGCTGTGGAAATGATAATTTAACTGTCACATCCTGCACAGCTAGAGCAGATGGGCTGGGGGACTTTGCTTCATTGCAGCTGCGGGGAAGAATGTGAGAATGGTGGTAACTTTCATTTCCTTATTTAAAGAGTCACACAGAACTCCAAACTCTTCTTAAGGTTTAAGAAATTAAAAGTGATTTTTTTAAATCAGAAAGTCTATAAAAGGAATGTTTTTCCCTGCGCACAAGAACGAAATCCTCTTAAGAAGACTGGCGTTGAAACCCCCTCCCCACCCCAGGCAGATGAAGGTTGCAGAGGTGCAGAGCGCTCAGGAGCTGTCGGGGCGCCCGCTCCCCCGACTACCGACCCGGCTGGTGCACCGGCCAGGGGCGGGGATGGGGAGGGGGCTCCGGACCTGCCCGCAGTCCTTCTGCTCCAAGAATCCCGGAATAGTTTTAATTCTTTCCCGTCTGGAGCTCCAGCCAAGGTGGCCCCGGCGCAAATCAGCTCCTGGAGCAACCTGGCCAGGCTAGAATTTAGAAAACTGAGGGGCAAGGCCGAGGAGGGAAAGCGCTTCCTCAAAAAAAAAAAAGAAAAGAAAAAGAAAAAGAAAAAGAAAGAAAGAAAGAAAGAAAGAAAGAAAGAAAGAAAGAAAGAAAGAAAGAAAGAAAAGCCTCTTTGCGTGGAGTCCAGGCTCTACTCTCCACTCTCCAAAAAGAAATATGAAATTGAATATGAAATGTCAACAGAGCGTTCTAAAACTTTGGATTTCTAGTATCGGCAAATATTCGGAAGAAAAAGCAAAATCTTCCCAGCAACGTTTTCCGTTGGAGATACACGAATTCACGCATAACCTACATCCAGCAATTCAGCAATGAAAAGCATTTTCCCGCCGATCCGCAGCCCCTACCCGCCCCCAACAGGGACAGACCCTCCTAACAGAGAGACCTCACTTTACATGCCGTGCACCTGAACCCCTCGGACACCCCGGCACTTGTCAAATGACCAGTGAAAGGGGACGTCTCCTCTTTGGGGGCTGCGGGAGCGAGGCGCGGGCTTACCCAGGCAGAGCCGCAGCGCCGGGAGCCGGCCGGCCGCGGGCTTCTCCATG